TAATTGTTGAATCTTCTATAAAACATATATTAAGTTAACTTAGTGTCTTTCACAATCTTATTTTTAGCATAATTATTAATTTATTTAGAAACTACGAATTTTTATCAAGTTAATATTGAACACAACGATATATTTTCATCATGTATTCAAAAACATAATTATAACAAACATGATGTTTTATCACATTAGACGTTTTTCATCTTGACTTTTTGGCATAAACCCTACAATTAATATTTGTTAGCAATTTTAGAGATGTTTTTATGATTGAGAAGCGTCATAGAAGCTTACATTAGAGATCTTTTTCTATTTTCGTCATATGTATGATGATTTCATAATCTTTGTCTACGACTAGTAAACTTCCAAAACTGACAATCTTCTTTAAACAAAAACGTCTAAACATTGCTCATGTTGGAATATCTCTCTGTTAATAAGTGCCATGAAACTTTTAACGTATAGTAATGGCTTTTTGCACGAAAATCAATAGTTTATTTTTTCTAGGAACTGAATATGAGATCATAGTACAAATTGAAAAACAGTAAAAAACATAATTTTTCAGACTTTGATCTTTCAAACATAACGAATCAATATTCACTTGATGAAAGTAATGTGCCGATATTTGACAGAACCTTTCACTAATAAACGTCAACTTTATGAGAAAGAAAAATATAGGTGAGTACTTTATTTTTATTTTATTCATTTTATTTAAAATTGATTTATACCAATCATCTTCTACAAATAGCCGGTGATGGATAAAGAATTAGACACTTTCTTTTTTTTTTTGTATGTATTAGAGAATGGTTTGATCATAAGTTTGATGACTCTAGATCAGTATGCTTTCATATAGAAAATAGAGAAATAAAAAAAAAACTACAAAGTTCATATTGTTTCTTTATAGAAAAAATGAATCTAATTATGAAGTTTAGAGAATATTATCGGACGATGTAGTAATAGCAATTCATCAACGATATACAAAAATTTTGCAACTAAATTGACTATCTTATCCTACCTAATTCTCTGGATCGAATCTTTTTGTTTCGAAACAATGTCTCTAGGAGCATTCTAAAAAACTCAAATAGATCGAATGAAAATGTCTCATCCAAGATGCATAACCGATTATTTAAACGAATAGAAGACTTTGCTACTATTTACTAAATTAGCATCTCTACGAACAGAGCAATCATGCATTATTCTGTCTATGAATTCAAGCATTTCTTTTTCTATTTTCCCCTATGATAATGAGTAAAGAAAGAAACGACACATTGCTATACACAAACTTGCTCTTTTTTCTGTCATAGTCTAGCTTTTATTAAAATCCCATATTAGCATTATAAGTTTTTCCTCCGTGTAATTAGTCATGCCGGAAATTGTTTGGTTATAAGGCATGAAAACATCTATTCTAATTTATTTAATGGTTTGACTTCCATATGCCTAATAAATACGTCCCAGAATATCATATTATTTTTATCTTTGCTTGAGGTAGAATTTTATAGGTTTTCATGAAGCCTTTTTGCTGTGATGAATATGATTTCAGAAAAAAGAGAATGAATGAATAAATTTCAGTTTAATGGACATTTAAGAGAAGAAAAATTAAGAAAGTATAATCTCAATGTTTGTAGTGTCAAATTTTTAGTTGAATTTTTGAAAGGTAAAGTACGGTGCCTGTAGTTGAAAATTGAACAAATTTTTTGAGATACTGACATCTTATGAAATTTAACATTGTTATGTTCTTACGTTTCCTCAGTCATTCGTGATTATGAACAATACAAGTATACTAGAGATCCACAAGTTAGCCTCGTGCTCAAGTGCCTGCTAATGCAAAGTTGAACAAACTTGTTCAGACTGTATGCTGCACTATCCCATGGTTTGGAACATTTTGAAAGAACACTGAAGATATGAATTAACTATATAGAAATGTGTTCATAGAGCAGAACTCGAAAGAGGTGTGCGACGCACTTCAACGTGAGCTTTGGTGTGAAGCTGACTAGCGGATCTCTGGCGTGATCGGTTAAGTTTATTGTTGCATTTGCATGCACGAATAGTTATGGCATAGCGTGCATGTGAACATATTAGAGAATATATAATAATATCGTGTACAGGCACAGTAGTTTGCATGTGCGCACCCTTAATATTTTCGCATTCGAGAACAAACAAATGTTTTTTTAGAAAAATTGCGTATCAATAGATGCATAGTCTCGTACGTACATGCAAAGACAACGTTAGAGTGATAAAAAAAATCGAAGCAACTATTACAAGTGTGCATGAATACGGAAAAAGCTTTTTCCAAAATATAAAATTTGAATTGAGAGACTTTCTTTCAGAGGGCAATCTTTTTCAACAATCAACTCTCTACCTACAGCAGAAATACGTTCAACACTATGACATATAATCATCGTTCAATAATTTTTCAAAAAACAGGTACCTGAATATTAACAATTATGAAAAAATTTGACCTAAGGAACAAGTTATTTTACTCAGTGTTGTATAGTCATATGAAAGCGAACCCATTTTTAACAAGAAATAAGTAATGCCATATTGAAATATTATAGAGAAGCAACCAAGTTCTTGCATGAATTAATATTCATACCACATAAAACAAGAAAATTCTACCCGTCAACACAGATTCATTTCAGTATTAGTTATCGTAAATTCCATTGTTGTACATTAATATATAGAATTTTATGGTATGAGAGTTAAAAATTGTCGAATTATAACTAATGAAGTTTTCGGTGAAATTTATTGAGTTATAAGTCTTAACTGCAATTATAACTCTCAATCGTAGTTCTTACTAGTAACGACTCCTAGTCAATTAACTTTTTAATTTTTTTGAATAAATTAGATTAAGTTGAAATTGTCAGTCATTTTGAAATGATTGGCATGTTTGATAGAACAGATGAAAAACAGACATATTTACAATGTTATTATTTCAGAGAGCCATCATTTATGAAATTTTCTTTCAGTAATGTTTTTATGTATTCATCTGCAAAGAAAATTTTCTCATATTTATACGTCGAGTATGAAAATGACAATATACTTTTTGCTATGTAATAGTAATGTTTTTTAACCTACGTTAACAGTTACGAAAGAAATGCGAAAATTGCAATCATTTCTATTGAAAATACAATTATCAGATATAAATAGTTTCGAATGAAACCTATGTTTTGTTAGGATTCATAATAGACTAATTCGAGCTATAGTTAAAGTTCTTATACTTATCAACGAAATTTATAATTATCAACTATAGTTATAACTATTAACCGCAGTCATGTGACTTTTGACCATATTGATCATCATGAACCTTATTCACAAAAAGTTTCCCTATCATAACTAATCTGCAAAAATTTCTGACGCTGCTCATGATTCTAAACAATACAATGAAAAGTGTGAATCAAATTCATCCTCATTATAATAAGGTACGTTCGCATCAGGTATCAACCTGCCATCATTCATCTGTCTCTTTTGAATGATGTAGAAAGCATTTCTCAGGGGCTTTGACTTCGTAGAAGATAAATGGTTATATCTTCCGTTCTCTCACTTCACTCTTCCTTTGGATTTTACCGCTCTAATTTCTTTATTCTTCTTTTGCTTCTCTTCTTCGTTCGTCGATATAGTATTCAGGAAAAAACGAAGTAAAAATTAGAATAATATACATAGTTATAGAAGTTGTTATGCACAAATAAGAGTAAATAGACAATAATTTCATATAGTGATTTCATATTGATATAAAGTAAGTATATAATTATACTGGCGAAGAACATTACCTAATTTCGTTACAATCTATATTGAATATGATTGTTATCTTCAATGAATGAAAATTAGATGAGAGTAGTTGCAGCGCTTAAATATTGCCTTCAATTACTGACAATTTCAAAATTATCATGGCTCATACAGGGAAAAATAGATAGTCTTGCATGTAAGATCGTGCTTGCTGCATAAATAGGAGAAAACTTTGCTTGTCGATGAATCCATAAAACAAAAATTAGAAAAAATTTTATACATACTAGTTTTCTAAAGTAAGGATGTTGCAAATATGTCTATTTTTTCATCTATTCTATCAAACGTATCAATTCTATCAATATCATTGCCATTGTAGCTTAAACTAATCTATTTAAAAAAATTAATTGAGTTCAAATGGTTGCCAGTTTATACTTATTTTAACTTTTAGACGTTTTCTCTACTATCAACTTTCTAGGAAACAGTTTTAACTCCCATGTTGAAGATTTGGCGAAATTTTAGTCATCTGACTACCACATAGTGAGTGACATTATGACATTTGAATGCAGATTACTTACGTTACATAAATATGCTGATGAAGTGCATCCGCGTAACTGTGAGAATAGAAAGCGTGCATAGTCTAGTCTGTTTTTTTTCTAATAATCTTAAAAACTACTTGTATATGTATGCATGTATTTTCAACATCCACTTTTACGCATGTAGTGTTGTTACGTATTCATGCTCAAAAATTGAAAATATTTCAAATAAATTGCATACTCAAAAATGAGTTAAGCTGACTTGGACAGTGTCTTGCACGAAAAAGTCTATTTTCAAAAAATTTTTCAGAAGTGCACAAGATCTTTAAGCTTTCGACTTTTGGTTGAGTTCTATTATGTCGGATTTTTTTAAAAAACTAATCATGATGTTGCTAAGATACAGCATGACACTCCAGAGCAAGCAAATCCTTCATCGTATGTAATTAGAATAGATAAAATTAACTCAAGGGATACCTGAAGAATATGTTACTTATTAAAATATATAAAGAAGAACGCTAAGAAAGACACGCTATTATACTATTGATAGTGTGTTTGAGATTGCTTTGTTTTTGCAGGAGTAATTTCTCAAGCAGAGTTGAGCAAGTTATTTCTATCGTGTCAGAATTTATCAGGCAATGCTTTTTTTTAAAGCAAATCAAGATGAACAATGAGTCATACGATTTACACAATGTAAATATGATTACACAAATGTCAAGATTTGAACAAAACTTTAAATTCTTTTTGTTATTCATCATGCATTTACCATCAATTTGTTTCACCTTTTTAATGTAAGTTTTGTTTTTGCATTAAAATGAACTAAACATTAGGATTTATAGTTTACATAATTTCAAATGGAATCGTTTAGCTAGTCAAATTTTCGGTATTCTTCTTATTGTCAATGCTTTACTTATTCTTTTTGAATTGCCATTTACACTTACATATCTATACGATGGATTCGTAAGACATGAAAATATATGTCCAGTTTGGATTCTTATCAACTATTCATTATTTATCTTGAGTATAATTTTAATTGCATGGACATCAATTGAACGTTATTTATTTATTTATCATGAACAACTCATTACACGTTGTCGAATTTTATTACATTATATTCCTATAGGATGTTTTATTGTGTACACACCTTTATTTTATATTAGCTTAGTGCTATTTTATCCTTGTCAACAAGCATTTAGTGAATATAGTTATATTTGTGGTGGTCCATGCTATCTTTTTCATATTGTACCATGTGTGATTGATTGGCTTTTTAATGTTGTTTTGGTATTACTTATTACATGTGTTATGAATATTATATTAATTGTTGTAAATATCAAGCAAAGATATAAAATGAAAAAATCCATAATCACCGTAGGAAACAGTCAACGATGGGTAAAAAGAATACATCTAAAGACAATTTTTTTCTAGTAATGAAACCTTTGTTTTTACTTTAGCGTCGCACAATAAAGTTGAGCGTACAAGTATTTTCAATATCTACACTTTGTGTGATTGGATGGATTCCATATGGCGTTGTTTCAACCATACAACTTTTTCACAATACAGAATTTTTAAGTTATCTTCTTTCAACATTTTTTATTTATTTTCCATATATCCAAACATTATTTTTACCTTATGTTTGTTTATTATTTATGCCCAAAATTAAAAACAAAGTTTTGATTATTGTGAGGTCATTCTGGTGTTATAAAATTCTATGTCATCACAATCAAGTACATGTGGGCAATGATGGACAACTTCATACTCTAACTCGTTTGGATATAACTATCCGTCCCCAAAAACCTATTAAAACAAACAGTTTATAATATCATTCAAGTTTTAGATTTTTTTTTTCTCTTGTAAATAAAATATACTTGACTATCAAATAATTTCTTCATTAGAAAATACTTGAAGAATATTCCTTATTTGAATAGCAAAAACAAGAGAATTTCTAGCCGAAGGCAATGAAATTAACACAAGTACAAAAAACGAAAAACAGGTCATTATCATACCATACTTTTGCCCTTCTACTCAAAAGTTATATAGAACAAAATTTAAAATTTGAGGTGCCTGCATTATTTAACATTACATAGGCTCAAAACTTAATATTCTGTCAAGAAAATTCATAGTGTAAATAATTTTAATTATATTATTTTTTTTTCATAGTTAAAACAAGAACACGAACGAAGAGACTTTGGCTTCAAGTTTAACGTTTCAACAGTATCGAATATATTTTTTTATTCCAATTCTGAAAAGAATCTTCTTTCAGTCTACTTTAGCCTATTGACTTGTTGGATTCATGACAATGATAAATCGAAAATTCTTCTTGCTATATATGTCCCAAACAAATTTAAACTTAGACAGAATTCGTTTTTTTTATTCGCTACTAAACCACGTAATCACTTTCTTTTATTGAAAACTAAATTTTAATTTTGTTTGCATTAATAAAATAGCGTGTACCTGTCTTCCTTTTACTGAACGGAGTATTCATTTTTACTTGTTTATATTATAATATATATACCAATGACGTTTTTTGCATTGACATCAGAAAATGATTTGCGAAACTATCTTTATTAACAAGTGAAGTAACATTTAAAATTTTTGGAGTACTGAAGTCAAAGAGAAAACAGCTGTTATTCTACCACAGAGAATACATAAGCGAAGATATCCTTCATTTATTTCGATTGGAAAATAACTCAATAAAACTTAATAGCATCATCTATTGGTACTTTACATACCATCTATGTGAACCAAATGAAATTCAACAACAAGTAAACATCAATCAAGAGTATTACTGAAAAAGTAGAAGCTGAAAAATTCTTTTTGTTTTCTTGGTCGAAACGGGCTAAGAAAAACTAAACTTCAATAAGAAGCAGTAGTCAACTTAAGAATTTTCTAGATTTAGTTGAAGTTCAATAGAAAACAGTGACAAACTCTACCGAGTGTTTTCATTTTTTATTATAATAAAACAAATTATCACAATTCTAAAACATGCAGTTTTTAATTAACAGTCTTTCATAGTATATATGAACTATAAAACGAGTTTTTTGTTTATGACAACTGCTTTTTTGACGTATATGGATCGAAATGAACTTTTCATCGTTAAACTTACAAATTTAAACCATAGTCTGTTCTTGACATACATGAGTTGAGATATTCGAATAAGTTATTGAATTGCATGAGAAAAATTATGCTTGAAATATAGAGGAAAATAAAATCTAAATTCTAACTTTTGTAAAATTAAAAATTTTGATAATTTTTTTTTTTATTGTAACTTTCCCGACTAACTTTCTATACGAAAATTGTCAGTACAGATTTCTGTTTGATCAATTTTCACTTTTCTGTTTTCTTGAATATCTTTGGTTCAAGATAAAAACCCTCCGCTCATCTAGAAAATCGCATTTTTGTCAAAAATATCAATATTCATGCTTTATACATAGTTGAATAGCTCAAAATGCTGCCTATTCTAAAACGCACTCTGATTTACCGATTTTACAGAGGATCTAATAGAAAGCTCTCTTTAAATTTCTTAATGAGAAATTTATTCGAAAACTTAAAGTATTCAAATACTTTAAGCACTTCTGTAGGATGTTGACAATGGTTTATAGAGAAACACAACTCCAAGTTTTTGAAATTCAGAACTATTTATTTTTACAGTTCGTTTTTCACAAATTTCTCAGCCGTTTTATGTGCCAGAAAGCTCGAATGTAATGCTCTTCGCCGAATGGTAGATCGCCGAAAAGTGAGATCGCCGAAACTCGCGCCGAATGGAACATAATCGAAAAAAAAGATCGCCGAAATACACATCATCGAAATAAAGATCGCCGATATAAAGATGGTCGAAATAAAGATCGCCGAATTTTTTCGATCATTTATTACCCACAATATTTACTTCAACGATCTAATTTTCAGCGATCATCTCTTGCGCTTGCTTTTTAAATATCTATCATAGACTTGAAATCTATTTACGTATTGTCTCAAAAGCATTGCTGACAGCTTCGATTATTTAAACGACGGTGATAAAAAAACACGTCGAAAAAAGTATCCGTGATATTAGTTTCGACGAAGAGCATACTTACCTTATTACTTGATATATTTCAACTCAGTTACTGACTTGACTCAGTGACTAACTTGACTCCTAACTCAACTCAGTTACTAACTTGACTTAGTTACTAACTTGACTTAGTTACTAACTCAACTCAGTTACTAACTTAACTTAGTTACTAACTTGACTCCTAACTCAACTCAGTTACTAACTTGACTGAGTTACTAACTCAACTCAGTTACTAACTTAACTTAGTTACTAACTTGACTCCTAACTCAACTCAGTTACTAACTTGACTCCTAACTCAACTCAGTTACTAACTTGACTTAGTTACTAACTCAACTCAGTTACTAACTTGACTTAGTTACTAACTCAACTCAGTTACTAACTTAACTTAGTTACTAACTTGACTTAGTTACTAACTCAACTCAGTTACTAACTTAACTTAGTTACTAACTTGACTCCTAACTCAACTCAGTTACTAACTTGACTCCTAACCCAACTCAGTTAATAATTTTAGTTTTTGTGATCAAAATGGAATTCATCAATGAATAGTATCGCCGATATGCACATCGTCGATAGTGACATCGTCGAAATAACACATTGTCGATAGTAACATCGCCGAAAGGATACTTCGCCGAAATGCAGATTATCGAATTTCGGCGATGTTTATTTCGGCGATATGAGTTTCGGCGAAGAGCATACTTACCAGAAAGCTCGAGAATGTTTTCAATTGCAGAAAAAATTGCACTCTACAACTGAACAGATGCTGATTTTTCATTTTTGACTTATTTCTCGAAAAAAATGCATATTTTTCGGTAAGATTATACCTATTTGTTCAAATTCTTTTAGGTAAGCTTTCAACAGAAGTAAGATAACAAAATTTTGAAAAATCGAACCTTGTTGAATTGTAGCGACAGACGTTAGCTACATTTTGACATAAATCTGAAATCTATATTGTTGGATTTAGAGAAGAAATCCTTAAAATACAGAGACATACTTTTTGTTCCTTGATACTCTGATATATCTAGAAGAGTTCAATATTTTTGATCTGAAATTTCCACTGTGAGCTACACATTAAGAAACATTCTCTCAAATTTTCAGTCAGATCTTTTGTTCTCGGATAGAAATAGATTTTCAAGTGGAAGGAGAAGGCTTCAAACAATGATCGTTTAGAATATGTGCACAGATGATGAACGAATACGCTTATTGCTTCATTTAATGGAACATAATAACTTACAAGATTTATTGATGATCCTGAATAGATTTTCAATATATAATAAAACAGATAATGTAGTCAAAAGGAATAAGTATTTTATTAAGACGTAACGAGACAAACTCGTAAGAAAGCAAGGTGGACTAGATAATAAAAAATTTTTCTCGTCTTGGCCTTTCATATTTAGTGCTTATTACGAAGAAACGACGAATATGAAGCAAAGAAAAACCTGTATATCTCTATATATGGTTAACAATGAGTTCAACTTTGATCATCATACAAAGTGACCCAAACATTTTTTGAAACATCGCAGTTCATTGAATCGAATAGAGCTCAATAAAAGCTATCCATTAATGTGTAACACAGCTCATAAATTTGAAAGGCAATAGAAAGTGAGAGAAAGAAATACTATTAGAATCTGGCAGTTCTTAGAGATATTTGGTTATGAAATAATTAGTAACGTCAAATAGGATTGAAAAAGAGCTATCAATTGTATGTCATTATATAACAGTTAATAATCGATCTAGAGCACTAGTTTAATGTATCGTCAATATAGCATGTAAATAGTGATAAAATACGATACATTCATGTTGCATTGTAAAAGGTCACTGTATACAGCCGTTTATATACTGTAATATGTGATAATGGAATTGAAATACGATTAAAACAATTTGAATTGAAACAATGGAAAAGTACAGATGTTTCAAAAAATATTGTCAACATGCAAAGATAATTACAATATTTGTTATTCGATTTTTCAGTATTTCCAAAATTTTAATATATATTATAGATATATTCTGTTCTATTTCTAATTTAGCTGAATAACAATATTACTTTTATTTTTAAAACTGTTTTGTATAAATTCATAGATTCAGTAGTTATAGACATCTAGATATCATGAATCGATAATCATTGAAAAATGGATCGATAGACTTAAAGATGGCTTAAATAAATTAAACGAAAAATTTTAATATATTATTTTGAATATAAAAACTAAAATGTTTCAATGAAAAAAAGTCATAATGAAAATAATTTGAAAGATGATACCACTCTATTTCCTTTGCTCAAGCTATCAACCAAATGACAGCGGGAAGAAATGGTTAGAATCTGGTAAAGTACGGATTCGCATTTCATTGGTTGTTAACTTCCATTTTAAGCTATCAAAACATCGCATATTGAATATTTGGCGTGTTTGTCTACATTCTTTACCCTATCTTGATCCGATTCTATACAAGTAGCGCTGGTCTTCTATTGGATGCTGTATAATACTATTTTGAATGGATGTTTTGTCGTGTCGTCGTTGAAAGCTGGTTTCCTTTTTTTTTTCGTTCTGATATACATTTTCTTACTTATTTATTTTTCTTATTGAAAAAAATTGTGTACTCCTCTTTTTATTATTATTATTGCTACCTGTTTGTTGTTATTCTCAATCAAGATTTGCTCGTAATAAATGTGTCCATGAGACGGGGGTAGTTAATCGATAAATCGACTTTGTCTTGTTGTAATTATAGATGAGGCTGTGTAATGCATTGATCTACTATTATTTATCCATATTTCTCTGTTTATTTATTTACAATTGTTACAGTCATGAACATCAAAATCATATAGATCCTGTGACAGCCAAATATTCTCAGTCAGCTATCAACGTCGATCCTCTTAATCAACATATAGGTTAATATAACTTTTTTTTCTTTTTAATGTACACAAATCTGGTGTATTTTTAGAATCTACGAATATTCAAAAAACTGAATTTCAACAACCGAATGATGATGAACATTTAGATGATACAATTGAAGCTCGTCTTCAAACTAAACATAATTTGAGACAATCAGTTCATCAACAAAGTGATGATGATAAATTTGATAATGAGCAAGATTGTAAGAATTTTGTCTTTCTATTTTGAGATGAGAAATCTTTTCTTTTTTAAGATATCAATCGATTAAATTCAGCATTGGAAAATGAATATAAAAAGGAACCTGAATCTCAACATGTAGCTTCGCGTATAGCGGATACAATTCATAATGCACCATCACAAAATCAAATAAAAGAAGATGTTCAAGTACCATCACGCATAGTAAATGAAACCATATCTATACAAACACCAAAGGAACAGCACACTACTAATGAAGCATCACCGATAATTGATACATTGAAACATGCTCAAAACTTAGATGAAAAATTGAGTTCAAAACTGCTTTCTAATGAAATTACAGATTCAGCACGAGTACAAACTAATGAACAACAACCAACGAATATCATTGAAGAAAAAGTAATAAAAGAAGATATTCCATCTATTCATAAAGAAACTCTATCATCAACACAATCGCATCAACAAAACGAAAAACTCAATGTAGTGAAACCTATAATTAATCACATTCCACCTTCTGCAGATCAGCAACAGCCAATATCGAATACAATTATAAATCATACAGTACAAGATAACAGTTCAATTGATGTTAAACCTTCATCTCCAACACCATCACAATTAGATCAAACACAACAGCTAAAATCTGATACAATACAAAATGTTAATTCACTCAATCCTAAACTAGATCAGCAACAACCAATATCCGAAGCAATAACAAATGATCATCCATTGGATTCTACTTTAAAACAACAACGAAAATTCGATACAATACAAAATGCAGATTCATCAGATTATAATCCATCTTCTTCAACATCAGTAAACGAACAGCAAAAGCAACAAGTGTTCGATTCGATACACAATTTTAATTCAGTCGATCCTAGACCAGATCATCAACAATCAGTACATGAAACAATAAAAAATGACCATACATTGGATTCTACCTTAAAACAACAACAAACATCCGATACTATACAAAATGTAGTTTCATCAGATCACTATCCATCTTCTTCAACATCTACAACAGAAAACCAAAAGCAACAAGTTCCCGATTCAATACAAAATGTTCATTCATCAAATCAACAACAGCCAAGTCTACAAACAAAACAACATGTTAGCTCATTAGATCAACAACAACAAACTTTAGAAACAATGCAAAATATTGATTCAATAGATCATCATATACCCCCAATACAAGTCGATCACCAATCACAAGTTATTGATGCAACAAAACAAACAGAATCGATACGAACTAATGTCAAATCAGATGATACTTCATCAGAAAGAAAGGAATCTCCTACTAATGTTCGAGCATCAACACCATCAGCAAGAATTTTGCGTTCAGCAACGACAAGAATGACTCAAACTGCTCAAGCACGTCATCGTCATATTCATTCAAATCAAGAAACAATTGCAAAACAACAAGAACCAGAAAAAACTCCAGCAACAGGTAAAATGAATGTATAATCTTTCCATTTACTCAATGTTTTTTTTCTTTCTCAGAAGATCTAACTATTGAAACAAAATCATCATCAACAACGATGGCAACAATTGAATCAACATTATCCTCAACAACAATATCTACTGTGGAATCAATAAAGACTGTTACTCTTGAATCAACATTATCATCAACAATGATGACTACTACCATTGAATCAACATTATCTTCAACAACAATGTCTACTATCGAATCACCAAAAGCTGCTACCATAGAATCAACATTATCCTCAACAATAATGTCTACTGTGGAATCATCAAAAATTGCTACTATGGAATCAACATTACCATCAACAATTATGCCTATTACTGAACAATCAATCGAAGATCATAATAATTCAGTTGAATCATCATTATTAAAACCACAAGAACCTCAAGTCGAAACTGTTCAACAACTCGAAATAGATCTTAATATAAATGAAGAAGCTGAAATACAAATCAATCAAGAATATGAAAACTCCATCGATATTACCGATCTTCCACGTCAAGTACATGTACATGATCCAAAAGCAATACTTAATAACCTAGAAGAAGAAACAAATAAAAATGAAAAACAACATATTGATAAAGAAATTGACAGTCATACAACTATTGCTTCATTTTTATCTAATGATCACAGTCCACATTTACCACGTGTACTTGAAAATAAAGAAACAGCCTCAACTATCGAGTCTACCATTGAAACAATGACAAATACTGTTGAAACAATTGATAATAAGAATGAAATAAATCAACCTTTGACATACAGTGAATCGAAAGTAAGTCATATTGAAATAGATCATTGTTTAAGATGACTTTTTTTTCTTCTCTTAGGTAGAAGAAACGAATAATACACAAACATCAAAATTAAATACAATTTCGATTGCTTCAATATCAAACAATAGTGAAAAAGCATTATCCACTCAATATCGTCAAGTTTGTTGGAATTTACCACCATCATTTGAACCAACTTTTGAATTAATAGAAAATCGAACATTACGTTTTGTTAAACTCGTAAGTCTTTTTTTGATATAAATTCGTCATTTATCTTATTGTTTTTTTTTGTAGTTACCTGAATTTGTTCAAATAACGTTATATGAATATATAGATGACGATAACACAATTATAAATGCAGTGTGGTTGGGTTCAATATGTAGTATGTGCTTATTGTTTAGTTTTCTGTTTCTTTCCTTGGGTACTAAACGTTTACAACAAAGTAAACAAGAAAAAAAAATTCGTGCACATTGTCAACAACTTCGACAATATAATAATCAAATTGAACTTGAACGTGCAACATTTGAAAAACAAAATCAAGAGTAAAATTAATGAGAAAAAAAAAGTATTATTTTTATTGTAATTTTTGACAAAATTTTTTAGATTATCCGATCAAATTGATGAATTAAAAAAAATACCAGTATGTGATGCAGATGAAGAACTTTTTGAATTACGTGAAAAATATGAACGTCTTCATGCTGAATGGAAAATTGCACGAAATGAACATGATATTTTACAAAATGACATTAATTATAAAAATAGTGTAATACAAAAATCTGAAGTTGATATGCAAAAACAACTTGAAACTATTGCATTTTTGAATGATGAAGTAAGAATGTTTTATTTGAATATATCTGAATAATATTTCTATAATATGAATTAAAAGAGATCCTTTGCATTTGTCAAACAGACAGAGTATAGTCGCAGTAAGCAACAACAGAATAAAACAAGCCGAAGGCCAGCTGTTTCCACTTGACTTAGTCAGATTCTTAACCTTTGGTGGCATGCATTCATTTATTCTAATCGATGCATCTACCATCGAAACTCAAGGCTAAAGAATAATGTTGAAACTACTTTTTAACATAATCTAATCTATAATTTTAATAATTAAACTTTCAGAAAGTATATCTTTATGATCAATTATCTTATCATAACGACTCATTTCGAATAATTTACTCTGCATAAATTTTTGCTACAGTAAAATTGTTTTTGTCACAGTTCACTGATTTCTATTTGTGAAAGACGCTCATCGAAATTTTTTCGTTAAATTAAGTGTAACCTTTATATTACATAATGTAAAATATGCCAATAACATTTTCTTTTGACTTTGATACAATTTATATAATTGATTTTTGTGTGTTTTTTTTTAATGTTTTCTATTACATGGTGTTGATAGTAATCATTGAACGACAATTATATTCCTCTAATGATTAACTATTGAATCATTTAGATTTTTCGTCAAAAACAAGAACTAGAAAAAGAACGACAAACTATAATTCGTCCAGAATCTACTGATCTTTCATTAGAACGTTTTCAAAAGTTAGAAGAAATTATTCATCAGCTTAAATCTGAAATAACACAATTAAAACAAGAAAAATTTACACAATTCGATCAATTAGAACAAGTACAAGAACGTGCTAACCAATTGGATATTGATAATAATGAATTAACTATTAAAATGAAACAATTGAAAGATTTACTTCAACAAAGAGATGAAACAATAGCTCAAATTCGAGAAAAAATGCTTAATAGTGATGATGATGATGAAGAAAAAACAACAGGTTACATCTTTATTTTTCTTTTTTTTTGTTTTCACTTAATAAAATATATGTTTTTCTTTTTTTTTAGAAATCGGGAATTTACTTTCAACGGCAAAAGAAAATACAAACGATAATGATCAAAAAGAACTTTTATCAAATATAAATAATGATATTGAAAAAGCTAATCAACATATGCGTAGTTTACATTCTGAAATTGATGAAAAAACTCGTCGTATCAAAGAACTTGATGCATTACTTAATCAAGAAAAAGATCATTGTAAAGAACTGGAAACAAAACTAAAAGTTGTTTTAGAATTACGAGAACGTGATGCTCATTTACATATTCGACAATTAGGACAAACTGATGCTGAATTACGTAAAGCAAGAACAGATACTGAACGTGTTAGAATTTTACAACAACAATTAGAACTTAAACAGTTAGAATAATTACTTTTTTAAGAAAATTTTAACTAAATAAATAATGATTTTTTTTTTGTATTTTAGAAAACAATTAGATGATGTACAAAAAGTTCTTTCTAGTGAACAAACAAAATTTAGTGAAGAATCGGGTAAATTACAGCATGAAATACATGAAAAATGGATGGAAGTTAAACGATTAACAAGAGAACTTGATGGAGCAAGAAAAGAATGTGAAGGTCTTCGAAGACAGTATGTTGTTATTTTTTTATTATATTTCATTTATTGTTTCTTATTTTTGTCATATAGAATTACTAGATATGCAAACAGTGAACGTTTATCTCAAGAGAAAACAATGCATAAACCAATTCCACAACATATTAATAACAGTAGTAAGTTTTACATCATATAAAACTTTTGAAATGAATACAAAAAATTTTTTAAGGTCGACTGTCAAGTGAACCAGAAACAAATAGCAGTTCTCCACCACCATCACATTCATATCAACAAGGAGAAAAGTATGATAATTATGTTTGAATAGAAAAAAAAATCCTGTCTTATTGTTCTATAGTTTTAGACCCATTGATTATGGACGTAATGATTCGGGTGCTGCTAGTCCAGCTGAAATGCTTAGAATTCGTAAGAATTTTTTTTTTTGCATTTCTCATTCATATATATAAACATCTTTATTTAGGACCACCTTTGTTTGGCCTACCTCGACCTCCATTCTTTCCACCACCATTTATGCCTCCACCTAATCCATTCATGATGGGCCCACGATTTCCAATGCCAGTTGGCGGTCCACATGGAATGATATCACCTATTTCACATTTAATAACCAATGGTAGTGGTGGTGGTAGTGATGCAAACAGTTTTGAAATTGTCGATTCTATGAATGTAACACCCAACTCAACTAGCTATGATACACAACTTAATGGATCTGCTGTATCACCTATACCTAATGGTAAAAATTTTGAACAAAATATATCATTAAATGTTATTTGAATTTTTATAATTTAATAGACGAACAGCAAGCAACAGCAAAACATAAAAAACCGAAGAAATCTTTGAAAAAAAAGACCAAAACTTCCACAACAACGACAGCGCCGACAACGATAGAGGACGTATGACGCTGTAACTATTGAGTGTTGTTTTTCATTTTAAAGACCATTTTATGATACTCGTCGGTTCGCCTTCTTCTTTCTCTATTTAATTTTTTTTTGTTGAATATAACTGTTATTTATATTTGTCGTATTTCCTTTTTTTTTCCACGGGGTTTTACGTATATCCGAATGATAATCAATCATTCTTCTTATTATGTGTGCGTTTTAATCTAAGAAGAAAAAAACCACGAAACGAGATACTTTTCTTTATCATATGTGTGTATTTATTCTTTTCTTTCAAATATGAATGGCTCTCCGTATTTTTTAGTTATTGCGTTATTGTGAAAAGTGAAAGCTATTATTTCTTTGTTGGTGATACTTGCTCATTGCAGATGTCCTCTGGTCTTAATAGTCGATATTTTTCTTTCTCACTTACACAAACACTTCTAACAAAAGAAAACAATGACGAATAATTATTGAAATGATTATTTAGTAAGAAATGCATTGTTTCGATAAATAACATCGACAATATACACAATCCGATGACAATGCGTTGGAGTATACATAAATAAACGACAGTAACAATGTTTTGATAATTGGTGAAATACTCTTCTACTATGCAATTGAGATTGTTCCTATTATAAACGATATGTTTTTTTTCACACAAGAATGGGTGAATAAGGCATGCATCGAACGTGAATGTTTCGCTTCAGTTTTAACTGCAGTCATTTTGAATTAATCAATAAAAGAAAGTAGAAGTTAACTAAAAGAAAAAACATGTTTCAGTTAGTTTGGGGAAATCTACGCATAATGCAATGAATGATCCGAAAGGTGATACGTTACACGTATCTTAAAAAAGAAGTCAATGATGTTCAAAAATACTCGAATCCAAAGTTGAACTTGATTGAACCTTAGGATTTGTCTATAATTATTCATACACTTAAAGAAACACTTAGACGATTATCCAAATTCTTTTGTGTCGAATAGACCTGAGTCTGTTTCATTTGAAGTAACATGTGAATCAAAGTTTTTAGTTGTTGTAAATCTACATGCAGTAAATTAATATAATCTCGAAATAGTGATCTAAAGCAAACTCTTGATTATTATCGTATTCAACAAAGAAAAAGAATGACTATTTTATCACAGCAAAACAATGTACTCTATCCGTGATGACAGTAAAAAACTTAGAAAAAAGTGTTATAAACTTTTTGATACAATAACAGAATGATTCGTTCTATTATCTTGCAATAAAATATAAGCATCTTTTTATTAAAACAATTTTTATTTAAGAACTTACATCATATTTATATATAATTAAAATTAGTTTATATTAGATATTGTTTGATCTTAATTAAGTTTTCTAATAGCTAAATTACGTGTGACAATTTTAAATAGATCCGGTGATTTCGACCTGATATTAGTAGCACTAGAAGAACGAGGACGATTTGCCGAAGGAAGAGTAGGCATATAATCGATCAAACTCTTTAGATTTGGATTAGAACGTCGAAAAACTGCATTTATTAACAGATCTTCATTTTTGGATGTAACTTTTTTTTGGATTGGTTTACGAATCGATGCAGCTTCCGCATCCGTCATAAATGTAGTTGACGTTGGTAATGGAACGTCAATTGTTTTTCCTCGAAAACGAATTGTTGTTGAAGATAAATCTATATTTCTTGCATGATCTCTTTGATAAACAACTTTGACTTGTGTTTTAATATCTTCAATACCACCTGATATAGGACAATCAGCGTCACTATCACCTAACCAAGCTGCTACAGAAAATCCTTCAGATGCTAAACCACAATTTATAAAATGACATTTTGCACCAATTTTTTCATTTAAACCACGAATAATTGCTTGATATGCTTTATCATTTTTTTTCGGACTTGTATCAATTCCATCAGAAAATATATAAAGATCAACATATAAAAATGGTTGTCGTTCAAACATTTCATAGACTTCTTTTAAAACTGAATAAAAATATGTAGGTATGGATCGAGAACTTAATTGAATTGTATCAATAAGATTTAAGTTTGATTCATTATCAATATCCGAAGCTTTACATAGAGGAATTAAAGCTGGATTCTTAAGTTTATCATCAAATGTTGTTAAAATAGCTTGATCTAATGAACTTGCTGCTGCAGCAATTTCTCTTAATAATTGTTTTATTGCTTCCTTTGTTTGAGTAATTCGTGGTAATGACGATTTTTTTTCAATGGTCATATTATACAAAAGATTTAGTGACATTGATGATGTTACATCTACGAGAATATAAGTTAAACGTGCACCAGTAAAATTTTGACGAAATAAAGTAACTGCTCCCCAATCAAAATGATAATTATTACATAGTTTTGAACACTTTGGACAACGAAATTCAGATATTTTTGGATCTTCTTTTTTCATTTCTGCTTCGGAATGTTTCTGTTGATCAGAATAAGTTACAAGTTCATTCAATGCACTTTGAGTTATACGACAAAAACAAGAAAGAATATAAAAACTTCGTTCTAAAATAAGAAATATAATTTACCAAGAAAAATTCATTTGTTATGATTGAAATTGATCATACCTGAAGGATTTTGTAAAGCAGCTGAATTTGCCCTTGCTGGAATTGCTGTATTATTTATGTAACACTACATTAAAACTATGTATATAATTTCATTAAAAAAAAATACCGGTTCACATACGTCTGGCTTTGGTAAAAGTGGTACGACACAATCTGGCATCCACATAGAACTGGTGGAATGTGATGATATATGTTTCATATTTGACCATAATATAGTTATTGTTGATACTGTTGTCTCATTTGATTCCACATATAATGGAGAAAATAATCGATCAAGTCGTTTTCGAAGATCATCATTGCCACCAGATATTTTTGGATAGACTGATCGAATTCTCATATTAATTATATTAGATAGACTTTGAAGACAAACTGTTAAAATAGCATTTGGTCCATTCATCTAAGAGAATATGAGAAATAGTAATAATACAATTGAAAAACAAGTACTAACCCATTTCTGTTCACGAAGTTGTTCTAACACAAAATATCTCCATGTTTCACCCCATTGCATACAAGAATGTAAGTCAGGATCAGCTGAATGATACAATTCTGCATTAATTACCATATCGATTACATTTCGTACTCTTAATTCTTTGGCACCATCTTCAACATCCAATCGACAAAGAATAGCAATAGTTTTGTACAGACAACTATTATTTGATGTATCAATCTTAACAGGATGATGCTTTTGAAGACTATTATTATCTTCAGATATCACATAGTTTCGAAGATAATGAAGAGCAACACGATCTGTATCATGTTCATCAAGATCAAACGTGCAAACCGGTGTAATGAATAAAGGATAACTTTTAATAATTGTATTAAATTGTATGCATTTGTCTTTTACTGTATCGAACCCTCTGTTAGCAGAATAAATGTCTAATAGCGTAGTTAGTATTTTAGAAAATAAATCAGAACGATTGAGTTGTTTACAAGTAGTACATAATGTGATCTTAGAATCTATTGACCAAGTATCATTATTACATAGTTGACACTTCATTGTTATTTTACGAATTCTCGAAACGTCTGGTTGTTTATAGTATATAAATTAACAAGACGAAGAATCATCATACGTTAAATAAATATATGAGTCATGAGATATCGTAACATGATAAATTTTTGTAATATGGTCATGACACAAAAGAGATGTAATCGAGCTTGTTATACGTGCTAGCTTTTTTTTTAATGACACTTCATATTTATTCACTTTACAGATGAGTTGAAAGAGAAACGCTATAAACACCTGGCTTTTAAAAAGCTTCTATCATGTAAATAGAGAAAAATAAAGGTGCACTCTGCGAGATAAGATCAGTAACGTTTTTCTCTTATATTAAAAGATCCTATGTGGAATGAGATAGGAAATTTATGATAGAAGATCCCAACTTTGTAATGAGTCCTTCACCTAAATCATTTTAAATTTATTTCTGTAAGGAAATATTGAAAAGAACATTCAAGTAAAACAAAAGATCAGAGATCGGGCACTGCTCAACACTTGAATATTTGCTATGAATAGTTTCATTCTCGTCATATAATTTTAACTTGTGTATTAGATTAGATTGTAGATCTTTATCAACTGTATCATACTCAAGTATCTAATTTTATTTTCAAAACAAACTTTAGTACTGAATAGAGTAAATGAAGCTCTAGATTTTCATAAAGAAGACTAATTTCAAATGAGCTTCTTCATGTTGAAAGATTTCAAAGATATAACATGCTCAGAAAACAAACTTGCCTACTTTTACATCAATTAGAAATTCTTAAATATGTTTTAATTCCTTGTTCTAAGACTTGATCTTTTGAACTTCAGATTGATGTTATATGTTTTACTAAAATCATTAACTAAAGGTCTATACACTATGTAAGTTAAATGTTGTAAGGCTTAGCCAATCATGAGTTGTCAACATTTTACTACATGTTATCAGCAAATTTTTCACAAAAAATTGACTCTTGTCCTGATTTTTTGACGAAAAATCCACCTTAAAAGGTTATTTTACAGCACCAATTTTTGAAAAAACTTGACGAAAGGTCCTGAAAAAACTTTCCAGAAAATTCTGATCTGTATGATTCGATGCAGTTTCATTTCCTTTCCTAAACGGTGAAAACAGTAGATCTCTATTTTGTTTCTATTAAAAATCATTCCAAAAATACTAATCCTTGTTTTATTTTGTAATAGAGAAGAGTTTTTTTTATCTACAAAACACATAATTAGTTAATGAACTGTCGCCCGACAGAAAAGAGAACTAGACTTAAACAGATCAATTGCTTGGTAAAGATGCTTTTAAACTAAAATTTTAGGAAACCGAAAACTAGTCAAATGAGACATAAAGAAAAGATTAAAA